ATATATGCTATATACGGACACTATATATATATATATATATATATATATGTATCTGTAAAATATGAGCTCGTACCGCGAAATACCAACTTAAACCGTCGCGAAAGACGAACCTCGACGCATTTAAAATTATTTTACCTTACATTTAGTAATTCAGAAGACTTTTGAAATTCCTTCAAATGCCCAAATTCCCTTTAAATTCAATAACTGTATTATTCGCATAGTGTTTAGACTATTTTTATACATAGTAAAAGTTAGTGTCCGCTTTTCAGAGTTAAAGTCGTTGTTGATACACATATATTCATGAGGCACGCAGAAGCCTCCCCGACAGCATCGCTGCGAAGGCTCTTTGGCTGCTTTTCTCTGCGCATCTCTGTTGAAGCTGTGAATGGGCGGTCTTACTCCGCGCCACGCAGTTTGTCAGTGGACAGCGGCACCAGTTGCGCTTTTCTCTCCGTGGGCACTGGCACAATGTCTCGTGGAGGAGTTTTGGATGCGTCTGTGAACATCCACAGGTAGTTACACAGTCTGCTTCGCCAGCTCCACTTTTGCATTTTTCTTGCAGAAGCATATAATCGATACGGACTCGATTCTTTTGGTTTTTGTCTATTCTAACTAATGCGCTGAGCCGGATACTTGCATGCACATTTTTTTGCAAAACACCGCGGACTGTGCAATAACCTATAGGCTAACGATGCTTGTTTGTAAACCTTTGCATTAAGTTTTCGACAAATCAGAATAACGCTTGGATTGTATTGCAAGTTTGGATGTGAAGGCGAAAGCGGAATACAATGGCAAGCGATCTGAAGCCTCGGTTGTGTGTGATGAAGAAAGGAGAGAACGGCTACGGGTTTCATCTGCACGGAGAGAAAGGAAAAACCGGACAGTACATACGGAAAGTGGAGCGCGCGTCCCCGGCGGAGGCGTCGGGACTGCGCGCGGGTGACCGTGTGGTGGAGGTGAACGGCGAGAACGTGGAGAGAGAGACACACCATCAGGTACATCACACACCTGTGCTGATCTCACGTGCTCCACCCTCACAAGAGCTCCCCTTACACTGGCTGGGATGCGCGTTTCTATGCCATTTTATAGTAGCCTACACTTAAATAAAGGTTCCATAAAGAACCTTTACCATCCATGGAACCTTTTCATTCCACAAAAGGTTCTTACAGTGGAAAAAGGTTCTTTGGATTATTAAAATGTTCTTCACACTAAAAAAAAATGGTTCTTTTTTAAGAACTGTTCACTGAAAGGTTCTTTGGGGAACCAAAACGGGTTATTCTCTGTGAAAACCCCCTTTTGGAACGTTTATTTTTAAGAGTGTAAGCTAGTACTACACTGTAAAAAAAATTCCGTAAAATTTACGGTAAAAAAACGGCAGCTGTGGTTGCCAGAATTT